GCATATAGAAAACCGCTGTTAAATAGTGCTCAATACATCAATTGTAGAGAGATATAGAAATACCACTGTTAAAATAGTACTCAATACATCAATTGTAGAGTGATATAGAAATACCACTGTTAAAATAGTACTCAATACATCAATTGTAGAGTGATATAAAATACCACTGTTAAAATAGTGCTCAATACATCAATTGTAGAGAGATATAGAAATACCACTGTTAAAATAGTGCACAATACATCAATTATAGAGCGATATAGAAATACCACTGTTAAAATAGTACTCAATACATCAATTGTAGAGTGATATAGAAATACCACTGTTAAAATAGTACTCAATACATCAATTGTAGAGTGATATAGAAATACCACTGTTAAAATAGTACTCAATACATCAATTATAGAGCAATATAGAAATACCACTGTTAAAATAGTACTCAGTACATCAATTGTAGAGTGATATAGAAATACCACTGTTAAAATAGTACTCAATACATCAATTGTAGAGCAATATAGAAATACCGCTGTTAAAATAGTGCTCAATACATCAATTGTAGGGCAATATAGAAATACTAGTGTTAAAATAGTGCTCAATACATCAATTATAGAGCGATATAGAAATACCACTGTTAAAATAGTGCTCAATACATCAATTGTAGAGAGATATAGAAATACCACTGTTAAAATAGTACTGAATACATCAATTGTAGAGTGATATAGAAATTCCACTGTTAAAATAGTGCTCAATACATCAGTTATAGAGCGATATAGAAATACCACTGTTAAAATAGTACTTACCACATCAATTGTAGAGCAATATAGAAATACCACTGTTAAATAGTACTCAATACATCAATTGTAGAGCAATATAGAAATACCACTGTTAAAATAGTACTCAGTGCATCAATTGTAGAGCAATATAGAAATACCACTGTTAAAATAGTGCTCAATACACCAATTGTAGAGCGATATAGAAATACCACTGTTAAATAGTGCTCAGTACATCAATTATAGAGCAATATATAAATACCACTGTTAAGATAGTGCTCAACACATCAATTGTAGAGTGATATAGAAATACCACTGTTAAAATAGTACTCAATACATCAATTGTAGAGTGATATAGAAATACCACTGTTAAATTAGTACTCAATACATCAATTATAAAGCAATATACAAATACCACTGTTAAAATAGTGCTCAATACATCAATTGTAGAGCGATATAGAAATACCACTGTTAAAATAGTGCTCAATACATTAATTGTAGAGTGATATAGAAATACCACTGTTAAAATAGTACTCAATACATCAATTGTAGAGTGATATAGAAATACCACTGTTAAAATAGTACTCAATACATCAATTGTAGAGTGATATAGAAATACCACTGTTAAAATAGTACTCAATACATCAATTATAGAGCAATATAGAAATACCACTATTAAAATAGTACTCAATATATCAATTGTAGAGAGATAAAGAAATACCACTGTTAAAATAGTGCTCAATACATCAATTATAGAGAGATATAGAAATACCACTTTTAAAATAGTGCTCAATACATCAATTATAGAGCGATATAGAAATACCACTGTTAAAATAGTGCTCAATACATTAATTGTAGAGTGATATAGAAATACTACTGTTAAAATAGTACTCAGTACATCAATTGTAAAGCAATATAGAAATACCACTGTTAAAATAGTGCTCAATACATCAATTGTAGAGCGATATAGAAATACCACTGTTAAAATAGTACTCAATACATCAATTATTAAGAATGTACATATATTTTATTAATATTTGAATTTCAGTGACAGATTTAAAGAAAAGAATTGAAGACTGGAGAAGAGAGAGAGAAGATGCTTTAAAAAAACAGAAAACTTCACAATAATTACTGTTCGCTACTCATAAACCAATTTTTGCAGAAAACAAATGAAGGAATTTGCTAGACATTGTTTTGACTATAGCAACATTGTTTTGACAATTGCAACATTGTTATAACAATTTCTACATTGTTTTGACAATGGCAATACTTTTTGGATAATTGCAACAGTGTTTTGACAATTGCAACATTGTTTTAACAATTACTACATTGTTTTGACAATTGCAACATTGTTTTAACAATTACTACATTGTTTTGACAATTGCAACACTGTTTTGATAATTGCAACATTGTTTTGATAATTGTAACATTGTTTTGACAATTGTAACATTGTTTTGACAATTGCAACATTGTTTCTATAGTCATCTAATGGTAATAATGATGAAAGGTACTATAAATGGAGGTATATTATTGAAATGACTTAAAATCTTGAACTTGCCCTGTTTATTATCAGGAATTCTAAAGGCGATTAATAATGTGTGTGTATGTGTGAGGTGTGATTGTTGTGTTTGATAATGAAATGATTATTTCTGTAAGTTTGGTTTAGTCTGACGGGCATGAGCTTGAAAGTTACAGAACAGTGATGTTAAACCTCATTTCATTAGATTTTAGAGGGTTTGTATAAAATACTAACAAACCATACTTATATCCTGGAGAACTAGATTTCGCACAACTTAACTTTTCAATTTGGGTGACTCTTCTAAAATGTAAATGTAAAATAGGTTGAATTTTTTTAACCGACTCTGATTCTTTCATTTTGTGGAAAAATAATATAATTATATTGATATCGTTAATTAATACCTCCAAATACAATAGTTGTGTATCCTTGTATTAAACCTAGTGCTCCATGGTATCAGTAATGTCCATTTTTGCATCATATTTTACTTCTTGTTTGGACTGATTGTTTGTTTGGTTGATTGAGATTTTGTAGGAACCCGACTATAAAATACGCCAGTTGGATAAGATGAAATCAGATGAGATCTGTAAGCTGAAATAAGCTTGAGAGTTTCCAATAAAAGTACAATAAAAACCGAAATAAATGTAATAAAAATATAACTTTACTAAGACTATGTATATAATGTAAATATTTGCCTTGAAGAGGTTATTTTATTGTCACATTATTTATGTATTTAATAATATTCAAGATATAGGCCCTCGGCATAATGCACCAGCACTATAGCCTTAAACTAGAGGAGTAGTCTTTTTTATTGGTCTATATTACAGCTATTAGTATCTCTTTTTTATTACTTCAAATTCTGAAAGTTACCACAGCTTAAGCTGTAATTGAACTTTATCAGCTGGTTAAGTAAATATTTGAGCTTTTGTTGAACTTTATCAGCTGATAAAGTAATTTATAGGCTATTGATTTACTATAAGTTGTGTACTTCCTTGCTGATCATCATATTCACCAAAACTCAGCTTGAGATGAATTGAGTGATTGGTGATCCGGTTATAAGATTGGTGATCCAATTGGTGATCCGGTTCTACGATTGGTGATCTAATTTGTGATCCGGTGATCCGGTTATACGATTGGTGATCCAATTGGTCATCTGGTGATCCGATTGGTGATCCGGTCATGCGATTGGTGATCCAATTGGTCATCCGGTGATCCGGTTATGCGATTGGTGATCCCCATTTCTGATTGGTGATCCCGTTATCTAATTGGTGATCCTGTCAAGTTTTGGTTGAAATTACCTCCCTCGGCTCTGATGCAAGTTAAAAATTTCATCTTAATTGCCCTTGGGCCAAAGAAATATTGCATTTGATATTTGCATATTATACATTTTTTTGCAGATATCGGCTTGTTTTCAAAGATTTAAAAAATATTAGATTTCCCTCAAAAGGGCGCAGTTATTAAATAATCAAATTAGAAAAATAATTTTTTTTATCAATTATTAATTTCATTTGAAGGTTTTGTGAATAAGGCCGCTGTTAAATCGATTCAAAAACGAGTGATTGACCAATCAGATGGAACAGGCCTCATTCTGGTAATTTAGAACTTCAAAAACATAAAACTACCAGCTGTCAAAGTGTTATGGATTTAAGATTTGTTTTCTCTAAAATTCTAATGAACAAAATGTATGATAATTGTAATCAAATGTAATAAATTTTGTTTCTTTTTAGCCTTTTGTTGGTAATATTTTGGAGAGGTGGGTATTGGTTGATATTCACTAAAATCAATTCAATAACAGAATCTCATGGTTTTTGTGGGGGCAATCGAGGAGGGTGTTCGACCCATCCTCGAGAATCATAATGGGAACGAATGATCTGCTGCAATATGAATTATTCATTGTTGAATTAAAAGGTTTTCGGGCAGCCCTTGCGACTGATCAAATTAACGGGCAACTGTTTTCAATAGTCGCGTCCCCCCAGGTGGAATCTGATCTTTTGCTAGTTAAGATCAATAGGGGACAGGTCCTTTTTATACTTGCGCTTTAGTTCGTACGTGCGTCAGTCGGCTATGTCGAGCGTATGCCTTTTGGGTGATCGTTTATATTAAAGCAGACCAAATATGATAATCATTAAGAAAATATCCACAGGCTCATTATAAATAATATAAAATATAGATTTAAAATCTGATTTCTAGTTATTATTTGGTTGTTGCTGGATTTAGGTGTAGTCTGCCTCCAGTAAGTACAAATTCTTCATTTGATAATGAAACTACCTAGTTTGTGATATCAGCATCCACTCGAAGGGAACGTTAGCTTGTCATCTACCAACAAATACCTAGTCTGTGGTATCAGTAAGCTGGAAACAACGTTAGCTTGTCATCTACCAACAACTACCTAGTCTGTGATATCAGTTAGCTGGAAGTGGACGTTAACTTGTCATCTACCAACAACTACCTAGTCTGTGATATCAGCTGGAAACGAACGTTAACTTGTCATTTATCAACAATTACCTAGTCTGTGATATTAGTTAGCTGGAAGAGAACGTTAACCTGCCATCTACCAGCCAACCAATAAAACCCAGTCATATAGCACATGTAAGAGCTGGGTTATCATAGCTAAGAATCGGGATATAGAATAAGAATATAGAATAAAGGACAGGTGAAAGACTTTAGTATAAAGAACATAAAATAAAGGACATAACATAAAATATAACCCACCTCCATTTGTTTCTAGACAGGAAGAAGCACTCGACAACTTCCAGATGAAGATCTTGGTTTTGCTTTTGATGTTCTCCGGCCTGGTCGTTGGTGAGTTTATAGAAAACTTATGGGGATAATGTGTTAAGAAATTTTGATTTGCAGATCTAAGAATTAAATTTGAGGCAAAATTCTGTAATATTATAGGCATGGCAGAATGTGGATTTTAGAGAAAACCAATGGTTTTTCACTGTTCGACTTTCTTACGTAACGACCTCATAGATGAGACCGAGCGTCATGTCGTCCTTTTGCAGATTGTAGTGGGCACTAGCCAAAATGGGGGTAATGGAGGGCCTCTCCCTTGTAAATGTTGTAATCTAGGTATACGGAGAATACATAAATTTTTCATTTTTATCCCCACGCCCCCGTCCCCACCCTTCATACGCCGCCGTGACTGGAAAACTTAATTCATCTTAAGTTCAGTTTTCGAGAATAAGACCCTTGAATAATGAACCTGATTCACCATTGTTATTTTTATTTCTAGGTTGGGAAGACGCCTGGGGTGAGTAATATAAACAGATTATCTATTCTTGATATCTTCTCTCAATCTCTACGATATGTAGGTTAAATCTCGACCAACTTTATCGGCTTAAAACGAAAACAGAAAAGTACATTTAAGAACTTGAGATATCGAAGAACATGTCCAACAGCTGACAAGTATACATGGTAAATCTTGAACAAATCTGTTAGTACGTTAATGCTTGCACAAGAATACCAACTTCAGGTTCTGTATGATTCTGGCCAGTAACTGTTCCCTTGACATTTACCTTTCCTGGTTTGTCAGAACTGCCTTTCTCCATTTTATATAAAATAAATGTCATTGTAACGTAAGTTCTTGATGTCTAATTGATAGTTTGGTATGTTCTAGTCTCATTCTGACAATAGAAAACTGTCATTGTACCAAACAATCTACTAGCTAGTTAGACATGATAGTTTGGTATGTTCTAGTCTCATTCTGACCACAGAAAACTGTCATTGTATCAAACAATCTGCTAGCTAGTTAGACATGATAGTTTGGTATGTTCTAGTCTCATTCTGACAATAGAAAACTGTCATTGTACCAAACAATCTACTAGCTAGTTAGACACGATAGTTTGGTATGTTCTAGTCTCATTCTGACAATAGAAAACTGTCATTGTACCAAACAATCTACTAGCTAGTTAGACATGATAGTTTGGTATGTTCTAGTCTCATTCTGACCACAGAAAACTGTCATTGTATCAAACAATCTGCTAGCTAGTTAGACATGATAGTTTGGTATGTTCTAGTCCTATTCTGGTCGCAGAAAACTGTCATTGTACCAAACAATCTACTAGCTAGTTAGACATGATAGTTTGGTATACTCTAGTCCTATTCTGGTCGCAGAAAACTGTCATTGTACCAAACAATCTACTAGCTAGTTAGACATGATAGTTTGGTATACTCTAGTCCTATTCTGGTCGCAGAAAACTGTCATTGTACCAAACAATCTACTAGCTAGTTAGACATGATAGTTTGGTATGTTCTAGTCTCTATTCTGGTCGCAGAAAACTGTCATTGTACCAAACAATCTACTAGCTAGTTAGACACGATAGTTTGACATGTTCTAGTCCTATTCTGGTCGCAGAAAACTGTCATTGTACCAAACAATCTACTAGCTAGTTAGACATGATAGTTTGATATACTCTAGTCCTATTCTGGTCGCAGAAAACTGTCATTGTACCAAACAATCTACTAGCTAGTTAGACATGATAGTTTGGTATGTTCTAGTCCTATTCTGGTCGCAGAAAACTGTCATTGTACCAAACAATCTACTAGCTAGTTAGACATGATAGTTTGATATACTCTAGTCTTATTCTGGTCGCAGAAAACTGTCATTGTACCAAACAATCTACTAGCTAGTTAGACATGATAGTTTGGTATACTCTAGTCCTATTCTGGTCGCAGAAAACTGTCATTGTACCAAACAATCTGCTAGCTAGTTAGACATGATAGTTGGGTATACTCTAGTCCTATTCTGGTCGCAGAAAACTGTCATTGTACCAAACAATCTACTAGCTAGTTAGACATGATAGTTTGGTATACTCTAGTCCTATTCTGGTCGCAGAAAACTGTCATTGTACCAAACAATCTACTAGCTAGTTAGACATGATAGTTTGATATACTCTAGTCCTATTCTGGTCGCAGAAAACTGTCATTGTACCAAACAATCTACTAGCTAGTTAGACATGATAGTTTGGTATACTCTAGTCCTATTCTGGTCGCAGAAAACTGTCATTGTACCAAACAATCTGCTAGCTAGTTAGACATGATAGTTTGGTATACTCTAGTCCTATTCTGGTCGCAGAAAACTGTCATTGTACCAAACAATCTACTAGCTAGTTAGACATGATAGTTTGGTATACTCTAGTCCTATTCTGGTCGCAGAAAACTGTCATTGTACCAAACAATCTACTAGCTAGTTAGACATGATAGTTTGGTATACTCTAGTCCTATTCTGGTCGCAGAAAACTGTCATTGTACCAAACAATCTACTAGCTAGTTAGACACGATAGTTTGATATGTTCTAGTCCTATTCTGGTCGCAGAAAACTGTCATTGTACCAAACAATCTACTTGCTAGTTAGACACGATAGTTTGATATGCTCTAGTCCTATTCTGACCACAGAAAACTGTCATTGTACCAAGCAATCTACTTGCTAGTTAGACGCGATAGTTTGATATGCTCTAGTCTCATTCTGACCACAGAAAACTGTCATTGTACCAAGCAATCTACTTGCTAGTTAGACACGATAGTTTGATATGCTGTAGTCTCATTCTGACCACAGAAAACTGTCATTGTACCAAACAATCTGCTAGCTAGTTAGACGCGATAGTTTGGTATGCTCTAGTCTCATTCTGACTACAGAAAACTGTCATTGTACCAAACAATCTACTAGCTAGTTAGACATGATAGTTTGGTATACTTTAGTCTCATTCTGACCACAGAAAACTGTCATTGTACCAAATAATCTGCTAGCTAGTTAGACACGATAGTTTGGTATGCTCTAGTCTCATTCTGACTACAGAAAACTGTCATTGTACCAAACAATCTACTAGCTAGTTAGACACGATAGTTTGGTATAGTCTAGTCTCATTCTGACCACAGAAAACTGTCATTGTACGAAACAATCTACTAGCTAGTTAGACATGATAGTTTGGTATAGTCTAGTCTCATTCTGACCACAGAAAACTGTCATTGTACCAAATAATCTACTAGCTAGTTGGACAAGATAGTTTGGTATACTCTAGTCCCATTCTGGTCGCAGAAAACTGCCATTGTACCAAATAATCTGCTAGCTAGTTAGACACGATAGTTTGATATGCTCTAGTCTCATTCTGACCACAGAAAACTGTCATTGTACCAAAACAATCTGCTAGATAGTTAGACACGATAGTTTGGTATTGTCTAGTCTCATTCTGACCACAGAAAACTGTCATTGTAGCAAACAATCTACTAGCTAGTTAGACACGATAGTTTGGTATAGTCTAGTCTCATTCTGACCACAGAAAACTGTCATTGTAGCAAACAATCTACTAGCTAGTTAGACAGGATAGTTTGATATGCTCTAGTCTCATTCTGACCAAAGAAAACTGTCATTGTACCAAATAATCTGCTAGCTAGTTAGACAGGATAGTTTGATATGCTCTAGTCTCATTCTGACCAAAGAAAACTGTCATTGTACCAAATAATCTGCTAGCTAGTTAGACACGATAGTTTGATATGCTCTAGTCTCATTCTGACTACAGAAAACTATCATTGTATCAAACAATCTACTAACTAGTTAGACATGATAGTTTGATATGTTCTAGTCTCATTCTGACAACAGAAAACTGTCATTGTATCAAACAATCTACTAACTAGTTAGACATGATAGTTTGATATGCTCTAGTCTCATTCTGACAACAGAAAACTGTCATTGTATCAAACAATCTACTAGCTAGTTGGACACGATAGTTTGATATACTCTAGTTTTATTCTGACCATAGATAACTGTCATTCTACCAAACAATCTACTAGCTAGTTATACAGGATAGTTTGATATACTCTAGTTTTATTCTGACCATAGATAACTGTCATTCTACCAAACAATCTACTAGCTAGTTATACAGGATAGTTTGATATACTCTAGTTTTATTCTGACCATAGATAACTGTCATTCTACCAAACAATCTACTAGCTAGTTAGACAGGATAGTTTGATATACTCTAGTCCCATTCTGACCACAGGAAACTGTCATTACACCAAACAATCTACTAGCTAGTTAGATACGATAGTTTGGTATACTCTAGTCCCATTCTGAAATCAGAAAACTGTCATTGTACCAAGCAATCTGCTAGCTAGTTAGACACGATAGTTTGGTATACTCTAGTCTCATTCTGACCACAGAAAACTGTCATTGTACCAAACAATCTACTAGCTAGTTAGACACGATAGTTTGGTATACTCTAGTCCCATTCTGAAATCAGAAAACTGTCATTGTACCAAGCAATCTGCTAGCTAGTTGGATACGATAGTTAGGTTTCTGCGAGCTAGTTGGGTACAACTTTGTTAAAATAATTTCCATTTTATCATCTATATCATAAGTTATTGCCATTGACTCTATGTATCAAACGATTTTTGGACACTCTTGGGCCTTGCTGCTAAGTTATATTTGATTAGGATTTGATTTGTTACAGAATATTGGTTGAAAACCCTAGATGGACATAATGGGGACGGCCCTGGGCAGGGTGAATGGCCGGGTCCGAAAGACGAGGTATCTGTGCATCTTGAAGGTCAGTGTTTTTTTTACAAAACCGATTCGTGATCATGGATGAACCCTCAAAAAAGCTCCACGGGCTCGCGACAAGACGCCTACACAGAGTTTCCGCATTTTAAATTCAGCTTCGAATGTAGTACCCACATTGAGTCTGTCTGCTCCCTATTTGTACCCCCGAGTCATTCATTCATTTTTCTTTTTAAAGTTCCAACGCTTAAGCCATACATCTTACAAGCGACATGTGACAGAATTATGACACTGTATGTAAATGGAAAACGAGAAGCGTATTCTTTAAACTGGGCACAAGTTTCTCAGATAGAACTACCGGAAGAGGCGTTGGTGGCTATCCAGTGTAAAGGATTCGGCAACACGGCTGGAATATTCGCTAAGTTTACCCCAGAACTACCAGAAGACAATAATTGGTTGTGTTCCAGATCGAGAAGCAGTAACTGGTATTCTGAAGCGTATGTTTTCCTATTTTTGTAAATTATTCACAATAAGTGCGAAGTGGAATGGAGATTTGCGTCCACCTTTTGCCATTTATGAAACTACACGTGTTTTTTTATAGACCTGTAACCACAAATATTGCCATGCAAGTCAGGTACTTGCGATAGAGCTCTATCAATTGACACATTAAATTTTTAAGCACGTATATCCGGATGTGTCTGACAGGTGACGTGGGAGGCTAAATGGGTTCTGATAACCGAAAAAGCAGATATTTAGACAGCTTTATCCCTTTACATATTTCAGTTCTCAATCTGAAGGGACGTGGAACGAACCAGTCGCCGTAGAACATCAGTCCTTGGTATCGGTTTCCACCAATCGTTGGTTCTGGCTGCCAAGACAAGGTCTGGCCCGATTCTACACTGATATTTACTGTCGTATCAAATTGAAGAAAAGAGTTCCTCCTCGACCAAAACCTAAACTGCCAGGGCCTCTTCCAAAACCAAACCCAGGAACACCAACAGAGCCTAGTGAAGGTGAGAGACTTACATATTTTCTATCTACCAGCCATTTTTTAACCTGTGGCTGTGTGAGTCATTAGGGAAGAAAGAGTGGGGAGTCTAGTTTAACTCTTGCTGGGGGAGATCGATATTGTGGTTTAGACTAATGTATCCCTTTGTTTCTGCCACCTATGCCAGGGAGGGGGAGGTAATCTCCGAAATCATCCCTTGTTTCAGTTATTATCAATAGTGTAGTCATTGTAGACTTATATATCACTCTGTTTCTGTTTTAGGTGCAATGGGTGATTTAGGCAAGTTGGTCAAATTACGACCGACATTGAATTATATCTTCAGCAGTCTGTACAAGATCAACCATAAACTAGATAACCTGCCTGATCAGATCACTTACGATTTAAAATATCCCAAGTTAGTAATCATTCATATCTTCATCATAATTCTTATCATTCTATTCCTTCCAACCATATTACCATCGTCTTACAAAATAGAGGAAAACAAAATACTTTTAATCCTCATCGCTCTTATTAAAATAATCGGACAGTTCTCATCATCACCCTTATCCCATTGATCGTTCAGTTCGCATCGTCGCCCAAATCCCATTAATCGTTCAGTTCCCACCATCGCCCTTATCCCATTAATCGTTCAGTTCCCATCATCGCTCGTATCCCATTAATCGTACAGTTCTCATCATCGCCCTTATCCCATTGATCGTACAGTTCCCATCATCGCCCTTATCCCATTAATCGTTCAGTTCCCATCATCGCCCTTATCCCATTAATCGTTCAGTTCCCATCGTCGCTCTTATCCCATTAATCGTACAGTTCCTATCATCGCCCTTATCCCATTGATCGTTCAGTTCCCATCATCTCCCTTATCCCATTGATCGTTCAGTTCCCATTATCGCTCGTATCCCATTAATCGTACAGTTCCTATCACCGCCCTTATCCCATTGATCGTTCAGTTCCCATCATCGCTCGTATCCCATTAATCGTACATTTCTCATCATCGCCCTAATCCTATTGATCGTACAGTTCCCATCATCGCCCTTATCCCATTAATCATTCAGTTCCCATCATCGCCCTTATCCCATTTATCGTTCAGTTCCTATCATCGCTCTTATCCCATTAATCGTTCAGTTCCCATCGTCGCTCTTATCCCATTAATCGTACAGTTCCTATCATCGTCCTTATCCCATTGATCGTTCAGTTCCCATCATCTCCCTTATCCCATTGATCGTTCAGTTCCCATTATCGCTCGTATCCCATTAATCGTACAGTTCCTATCATCGCCCTTATCCCATTGATCGTTCAGTTCCCATCATCGCTCGTATCCCATTAATCGTACAGTTCCCATCATCGCCCTTATCCCATTGATCGTTCAGTTCCCATTATCGCTCGTATCCCATTAATCGTATAGTTCCCATCATCGCCCTTATCCCATTGATCGCTCAGTTCCCATCATCGCCCTTATCCCATTGATCGTTCAGTTCCCATCATCGCCCTTATCCCATTGATCGTACAGTTCGCATCATGGCCGTTATCCCATTAATTGTTCAGTTCTCATCGTCGCGTTTATCCCATTAATCGTTCAGTTCCCATCATCGCTCGTATCCCATTAATCGTTCAGTTCCCATCATCGCTCTTATCCCATTAATCGTTCAGTTCCCATCATCGCCCTTATCCCACTAATCGTTCAGTTCCCATCATCGCCCTTATCCCATTAATCGTTCAGTTCCCATCATCTCCCTTATCCCATTAATCGTTCAGTTCCCATCGTCGCTCTTATCCCATTAATCGTACAGTTCTCATCATCGCCCTTATCCCATTAATCGTACAGTTCTCATCATCGCCCTTATCCCATTAATCGTTCAGTTCCCATCATCGCCCTTATCCCATTAATCGTTCAGTTCCCATCATCTCCCTTATCCCATTAATCGTTCAGTTCCCATCATCGCTCTTATCCCATTAATCGTACAGTTCTCATCATTGCCCTTATCCCATTAATCGTACAGTTCTCATCATCGCCCTTATCCCATTAATCTTTCAGTTCCCATCATGGCCCTTATCCCAATTACATGTATTCATGATATCATATGATTTGCTAACCAGCCAATCAACACTCTTGCACGACGTTATAAATATCAGCACACGTAGGCTTCAAGACTCGTGAATAATATATGAGTATGGTCAACGCCTCAAGATCGTTTAATATTAGTTCACCGCCTGATATGAGGCCATTAGGATAAAGATAACCACAGACCCGTATATCAATTAAGGCGTGTTTTAAACTGTATCGATTGATATCTAATCATTGCGTATTTACAGACGACACTGGGAAGATGATCCGGACCATTCAAAAGTAAATGTAGCTCGGAGTGAAGTTTAAAGTAAAATGAGCCCAGAGAGTGCAGGAACAGCTGGAACCAGGAGATAGAAAGGAATGATGCCGAAAATAATGGTTAATCATCACTATAACATGGAAATAAACAATGTCAAATATCACGGTTTTCCTTCATCCACAACTAACCGAAATTTGAGCCTTCAAATCCTAGGTTGTCCAGGTATGTTTTTTCCTCGAGACTCCGCCACATAAAGAAAATACATCAATAGAAATGAAATTTGTGGAAATTATGTGATTTTTGTGCAGTTCTGGTACTTCTGAAGACTATTTACATATATTCAACACCCAAAATCAACATCTGGCGAACCATAGCCTTTTGAAATGAGATCTAGGTCTTACCTTTTCGTTTTTTTCTGTGGGTGGTTCCATTTGCCATCCACGATCTGACTTAATCGTTGCATCTAATGTTCCTGTTCAATATATTCAACCAATCAAATGCTCTGGGAACTTATTCTCAAAAACTTGACTAAGATAAAATCCAGATTTTAAAGATGGGCTCCCTCATTTTCATTTATGAACATAAAGATGCTAATACTTATATTAATAGAAAGTAGAGGTGTTCTTATGACTTGGAAAAATACCAGTTTGTCTCATATGTCCGATGAGTGACCGATCAAGAAAGGTCAAAAACTATTTTTTTGTTTATTCAGACTTTTCATATATGGACATTTATGATTGATTACAATTCTTAATTATATGCAATAAGAACATAATGATATGATTAAGAAATACATGATAATTCATTAGAAACACCAATTAATCAATTAGTTTGCTTTAGTTAACACTGAAAAATAAGGAAAACCACAGTAATTTGATTGGATGATGAAACAAAATCTAAAATCAATTTTATTGATAGACCAATCAGATGACTGAAACTTCCACTAATATTTCCATTAACGACATCACTGCAGCAGGATAGCGGATTGGATCGTAAAGTTTGAGAATTCTGTATCCTAAACTTTCCATGCCACTGTGGACTGTGGACAAAACGTTACTTTACAACTGTAGGGTATTGATAATATACCACCGTTGCTAACGGAACATGCGATACTATTCTCGTATACCGAAGAAGAAACACAGAAAAATACCCATATCCAAAATCCCAATACCACCAAAGGGTTATAGTTGCGAGAGTTGAGTAAAAACACCTCCATCTTTTTTTATTTCTTTCTTACGTATTCCAGAATCAAATCCTATGAGCTGTAAAATGTAGATCTGCTTCAAGAATAATTGTTAAAATTGTCCTTAAAGTAAAAACTCATTTACTACGATAAAATATATATATTTTTCTCCTTTTGTGCGAATCTTCAGCAGGCTTAATCATCATAATCGATCGGCATTTCCACTTCCACCTCAACCTTCGGCTCTTTTGCTGCGTTCCGTTTATCTAGACATATTCGAAAGTATAACGTTATCGTTAAGAAGATTACGGCTGAAAGTTCAAAGCCGCAAATCAATCCATTAAACACATAGCGAAAGTCTGGAAGACTGTAGAGAACACAGTTACCGACACTGTTACAAGAACTGTCCCAAATCATACACACTCGATCCACCAGTTTACCAAATACTATCGGTCCCGGTAGCCAAGCTGAAATTTAATCATAAGAATTTTAAACGATGAGATATATTGGTATACATGTATATCAGACGAGTTTAAGGACAGTGTTTCTGCTTCTGATCGAGTTCATGAAGAAGGGTAACAAATATAATTTAAGCAACTGACGTTTTAATTTAACTTCTAGTAATAAGGTTGACACAAAAACACTTTATTTAAAACCATAAATTTATATATGAACATTTTGCAACCATAGCGACATGCGGCGTACCTGTAAAACATTCAAATAACTGACGATAGCGGCAACGGAATGATACCTCCCATGTTATCTATACATTCCACGAGATCAGATGAATATATATATAAGACTAGGCTACGTATTCTAGAAACGATCTTATCGCTAGGATGTCCTAGGTTCTTATCTTCTAACATTGATTCTAGGACATCCTAGCGCTAAGATCGTTTCGAGAATACGTGGCCAGAAGAAATTTTTGATGAAGCTTTGTGGAGATACAGTTTCTATTTTACAGAATGCCTACAATTCACATTACCTAATATGGAGTTAAAGAATTCTGCCAATCCTATCGCCATCGACATCTCATCTTCATCTACAGATCTATAATATATCAAATACAAATCAGATTTTGTATATCATGGAAGGGTTCTTGCCGATATAAACATACATAATATAAATATCTTCACTATGTCAAGCTATTGCAAACTGTCTTTAATAGCCTACCTTGACTTCATTAATCATTGAGCTTTATTATCCTATCATGCAATGTAGCGATTTGATTCGATTGAACGCAAGTGAATACAGCCAATCAGAGCCCTCGACATAAGCAATGTAAATTTAATGTTTTTAGGTTAACAGACTTTCTGTAGAGTGTAATATAATATGGTGTAAGAGAAAGGATTATTAAAGAAACAGATGCACCATTTTGGGGTTTTAATTCGAGTCTTGAATGTGTGTAAATAGTCTTCTGTAGTACTAGAAATGTACGAAAATCACATAATTCTTTAGAAATATCTCAGAATAGGAATTTCTTTTCCTATTTCTATATATGTCTTTTCTATATATGGCAGTGTGTAAAAAAAGACGACTCGTCTTTCTAACTTTCAAACGCGGGTAATTCTGGACACACATGGATTTGAAGGCTCAAATTTCGATGGTGAGCTGAGAACACTATATAACTGATTGGCTTTGCTAGAAAATTCCCGTTTCTGAGATTAAGGTATGATTGGTCCTAAAATGGTGAAATATGTCCCTTTAAGATTATTTTACTTACCTGATTAACATGATGAAAACTGTGATACTGGCCATTGCTATAGCTATACCATTAACTATCTTCAGTATAATAAATAATACTATATACAGGCTACAGTCTCGACTACATAATTCTTGTGTTGTTATACCACTAGCAGTACAACTACAGTTCCTATATACCTAATAACAAATCATTCAACTACAGTTACTATATACCTAATAACACATCATACAACTACAGTTCCTATATACCTAATAACAAATCATACAACTACAGTTCCTATATACCTAATAACAAATCATACAACTACAGTCCATATATACCTAATAACAAATCAGACAACTACAGTTACTATATACCTAATAACAAATCATACAACTACAGTTACTATATACCTAATAACACATCATACAACTACAGTTACTATATACCTAATAACAAATCATATAACTACAGTTACTATATACCTAATAACACATCATACAACTACAGTTCCTATATACCTAATAACAAATCATACAACTACAGTTCCTATATACCTAATAACAAATCATACAACTACAGTCCATATATACCTAATAACAAATCATACAACTACAGTTCCTATATACCTAATAACAAATCATACAACTACAGTTCCTATATACCTAATAACAAATCATACAACTACAGTTCCTATATACCTAATAACAAATCAGACAACTACAGTTACTATATACCTAATAACAAATCATACAACTACAGTCCATATATACCTAATAACAAATCATATAACTACAGTCCATATATACCTAATAACAAATCATATAACTACAGTTCCTATATACCTAATAACAAATCATACAACTACAGTCCATATATACCTAATAACAAATCATATAACTACAGTTACTATATACCTAATAACAAATCATACAACTACAGTCCATATATACCTAATAACAAATCATATAACTACAGTTACTATATACCTAATAACACATCATACAACTACAGTTACTATATACCTAATAACAAATCATACAACTACAGTCCATATATACCTAATAACAAATCATATAACTACAGTTACTATATACCTAATAACAAATCATACAACTACAGTCCATATATACCTAGTAACACATCAGACAACTACAGTTACTATATACCTAATAACAAATCATACAACTACAGTCCATATATACCTAATAACAAATCATACAACTACAGTCCATATATACCTAATAACAAATCA